ATTTGTTTTGGCTGCCCCTTGGGGTTATACCTTTGGACTTTGGGGCCCTCCTGGGCGCTCCCGCTTAAACGGAGGGCCCCCGGTTTAAATTCCCGGGCGGGGGGAAAATTTTCGACCCCGTTTCCTTAAACTGTTGCCCCCTGTTCCCAGAGCAAATAGCCCCTGGGGTTTCACTGGTTTGGGGTGCTCCGGGGGGACAAGAAAAGGACCCCTGGGGTTACACCCTTGAGACTGACTTTCGGGGGTACCGGGGGGAAAAAAACCCTCCGGGGTTAAAAACCGCAAACTTACTTATTTTATTTTGTTGAGCGCTCCCTTGGGTTATACCGCTGGAGAACTTTGATCTGAGCTGCCCCCCGGGGTTTTTCCCGCTTGAGAACTTTGATCAAATTGGTCCTGGGGTTATCCCCGGTGAGAATTTTGTCTGAGCTGCCCCGGGGGTTATTAGGGCGTGGAATTTTGATCAAAGTGCCTCCGGGGGTATCCCCTTTTTAAAAACATTATTTGCCACATTCTTCCATTTAAATGTTTTAAAATTTTTTAAATTTAAATTTTCAAAATTTTTTTAAAGTAATCAATTATACTGAAGAAAAATGAGATTTTTTGAAAAAAGAATTTTGATAAAAAAAGGGAAAAAAAAAACTGCATTTTGGCACCACACAGCTAAAAATTAAATTTAAAAAAATATTCTTAAGTGTATTCCTCCTTTTTGTTTAGAACTGAGAAAAAAAAATTCTTTGATATTCTTGGGAAAACAATTTGTCAATAATACTAGAAATTTAAAAAATTTAACAATTTCAAAAAAAATTGATCCGTTTCCAAATTTTTCCCTTTGCGTCTCCCGATTTTGCAAAAAATAAAAAAAAAAATTTTTTTTCGTTCTTTGCCCATGAAAATTTTTCGTCTAATTATTTATTTGATTAAATTTTCCCCTTAAAAAAATAATAGATCTGACAATTTAAAAAAAAATTTTTAATGGAAGACAAGACCAGCCCCTTTAAAAAAGTCTTGAGTTACTAACGTTTGTTAACTTTGATAAAAAATAACCCGAAAGTGAACCACATGATCAGATAAATGCAGACGAAGAGTGGCTTAAATTTTTGAGTGTATTTACAAGTGAAATGTTAAGCGAGTTTATCGCTGAGTACAAAAAGAGTTGTGTTTTAGGTGAGGTCTCACTCTGAGCTTTCTCTTTGACTCCAAAATATAAATCCGGAAAGCAGAAAAAAAGCATCCCAAAACTCCGAAAAAAAAAAAAAAAAATTTTCTACGAGAGAATTTTTTATATATATTTCTGAAATCTATGAAAAAAAAAAGCCAGGAAACAATTTCTTTTAAGGGTTCGTTTATTTGGAAATTATTGACACTTATTTAGAAAAGTTTTTGTTTGGTGTGAAAGGGAAAAATTTTTTTTTTGAAACATTTCGTGTCAAAATTAATAAAAGGTTTAGAAAACTTCATGAATTAAGTAAATACGAATCGAAACTTAATTTTTTATAAAAAAATTTTTTTTTTTAATTAAAGCGGAAAATTTCACCCGTAAAGAAAATTTTTTATATTTACCTTCCTCGTGGTATCAGCTGATAATGGTAAGTGCTGGTTCATAAGCTGCCTGAAAGGGAATGGAACATTGTCGAAAAAACCCCCTCTCAATTCGGGTTTTTTCTCTTTGCTTCTAAGGCAATCGAACACTCTGCTTCAGTTTTTGTCTGGTTTTGTTGCAGTCACAAATGACCTCTGAGTTTTTAGAAAGTGGAAAATTTTAAATCCTTTGACTAATATATACATATTTAAAAAGCTGAAACCCCAACAAAGAAAATAGGGTATAAAGTCAATCCAATTTTTAACACTCTTGCCTTCTCGTAGACGCGCAGGGAGACCCCGAAAAAGATGAAATAATTTGACCATCATTATTTAATCATTCAGAAGTTTGGTGGTATTACAGCGCAGATGACCCTCTTAACTATAACTCCCCCACCCCTGCTTCAGAGTGCAAGCACCCTACTTTGCTTCTCCAGGAAATCAAGCCTGGAACGGGTTTTCCTTGAATCCCTTAGTAAACATTACCTGCTCACTTTCAAAAAAGCACGTCAAATCATAAATACCAACTTTAAAAACCATTTTAACCACCTCCCTTTATCCCTGCCTGGGAAGATCCCTCCCTTTGTTCCCACCCACCTTATTAAATGCCTCCAAATCTGAGACTGGGGGGGACCAGTGCCCATTAGAGAAGTAAGAGTAAAAACCCTGGAGAGGCAGTGTAGGAACCCATTGGGTAGGTCCCGCTAAAGTCCAAAGATTCTCACTCACAACTGGTAGGTCAAACAAAATATGATGATACCTAACTGTTGCACATGTAACTTACTTATCAACATGTCGATATTGTATACCACTACAAAATTCACACTGACAGACACTAGTTAGCAATGAGAATGGTTGGATTTGAGAACGACGTACGCAATAGGTTTGCTACACTGCCAACACTTACTTCAATTAGTAGGTTCCGTTACCTGTCGTAACATTATCTGAGCCTCACCTCTGACAGTATATAAGTCTAAATTCGTTAATTCAGGTTCACATTTTTTTTTAGACTGTGAAACATAACTCTTCTCAAGGCTGAGGACTGACTACCTCAAAATTACTCCTACGAGGTGATGGAATAATTATATCGTCTTCACATCTCTACTGTTTCATCTGCCTCCTCTTTTTGTGACCGAAGAAGCCTACTGAGAACTCGAAACTCTTAGAGATAAAGATACCTAAGTGTTGTCTAGATTTTTTAACACTCCTTACCTTGCTCTTTTTGGAGTATACCTGGAGTATACCTGGAGTATACCTGGAGTATACCTATATGTTCACTTTTAATTTCATTCTTTAATATGCCCTCCCAAATGTCTAGAAAATCGTATACATATATATATATATATATATATATATATATATATATATATATATATATATATATATATATATATATATATATATATATATATATATATAATATATATATATATTACGTACAGGATGTAGCTAATGTGAACAACCTTCTAACTAATGAAATAGAAGGAATAATTCCCTCAATTTGTCAGCCAGTAATATCCGATGTCGCAGAACCTTCTAGAAATATTCTCAGTGTCAACATGTCTGTGTGAATTCTCCTATTCAGGCTTTTCTGTCTTACAATAACTAGACAATTCCTGATTTTTTACCTTTTTAACACCATTACTATCATTATTATCCACTTTCATCCGCTACTATCATTATCATTATAACATTACCAACAACATAATTCAGTAAACCACTAAACTAGATGCAATCAACATGTTGCAATCAACTAAGTATACCTTGTATCGCTGTACCCACTCAGAGAAGACAATAAACGTATTTCTGACTTAAGAAATCGTAATGACACGATTGCAAATAAACCATACCCCCGGCCGGGATTGAACCGCGGTCATAGAGACTCTATGACCGCGGGTTCAATCCCGGCCGGGGGTATGGTTTAACGTATTTCTGGGAAAACTCAAGGTTCTCCCCGAAGCGATTTCAATATTTTCTTCTCTTATTTTCTTCTATAAAGCTTACCTGACCTTATTATAACAAGCGTAATTTAATATATCCTAATGCAACTAAATATATTATAGATAAGTTTACAATAATTTAATAAACAAACTCAATAAAATATATTTTTCTCGTTAGGTTGAAAATGATTATCGAGAAATTATTGCATGCAGAAATTATAGCTTGCCTTATTCGGGTGTGTCTGGGCTAATTTCATTCTACTCCCGGTTTGGTGTACTAGCCTCCACGAGCAGTTTACACCTCGGGTAGTGGAGGCTAGTACACCAAACGGGGAGTAGAATGAAATTAACTCAGAGGCACCTACACCACCGTATGTCCTCAGATCAAGGAAAAACACCTTGCTCTGCTGGGTGCTTGATTCTTGTATGATTGCTTGATCCTGTGGGTTAGAGCGTCATTTGTTTTTTCGCTCACCATGAGGCGGGGCCAAAACGACATGGGTTTGAATCCTCTGCTAGTCGCAGTGTTGTTATTAATATTATTACAAATACTGTAAAGTCCTGGTCACAGACCGGGTCGCGGAAGCGTTGATCCCCGAAACCCTCTCCAGGTATTCACAGAGAAATAATAGATAGCACAATATAGCTATTCTGATAATACCTGGAGTACACCTTGGGAAGGTTTCGTGGGTCAACGCCCCCGCTGCCCGGTCTGAGACCAGGCCAGAAAAATAATTATTCATGTGTAAATACTAATCTTACTTACATCAAAGACTGAACTGAATATTTAAAAACTAAATATTCTTTACTGAGACTCACATGCTGGATCTGGTTGACTGTGACTTCATCCACATTAGTCTTGAAGTGAGGCATCCATGGAGGGTCTACCACTGGCAGAGACTCCACGCCTATCTTGGGGGATGGAAGTGTGAATTCTATCCCATGAGGTGGAACCTTGAAAGTGAGTTGAGCTCCCTCTTCCATCCGTGGCCAGGCTTGGTATCGTGATTGCCACAACACTTGAAACCTGTCAAGACGTAGACTTTTGAAAGAGTGTATCAAGATGCTGGTGAGGTGCTTGTCATCTAAGGAATTAGAATTATTCTCCTTTTCACTTTCATCTACATTCATTGTCTCGCATTCCCCGTTCGCTGTATGGTAAATATGTGTGTTTGTTTGTTTGTTTGTTTGTTTGTGTGTGTGTGTTTGTGTGTGTGTGTGTGTGTGTGTGTGTGTGTGTGTGTGTTGTGTGTGTGTGTGTGTGTGTGTGGATTTTGTTTCATTTATGTTAATGTAAAAAATTATAATTTCGTACCAAAACTTACCCAACCTAACTAACCTAGCCTTATTATAACAAGCGAAATTTAATTTTGCTTAATCCAAATAAATATATTTTAGATAAATTAACAATAATTCAATAATACACAAACACGATGAAATATATTTTTATCGTTAGGTTCAGAGTGTTGGGAAGCACCTTTTCAGTGATAGGGGCATCTCAACTTGACTTACTGTAGGCCAGTGCTGCACTAGCTTTTGGTGCTGAAGCAGCGAGAGTCTCCCATTCAGTAATGCCAGTGGTGTCGCTAGGGTCCTGTATTCCTGCTATGTCATTGAGGTTGTCCGAAAAATTTGGTTTTATTAACTCGTTTGATGCTATGGAAGAGGATAGGAAAGCTGGTAGGGCGATCTGGGAGGATTTGCGTACTCCCAGCCCTCCATCCCTGACTGGAAGTGAGACTTGCAACCACTGTCCATCTTCAAGAGAGAGATTCAATACACTCTCTACCATGGTCTTTAGGAGGGAGTCATATTCCTTGAGTTTCGGACTGCTGAAAGATTGGGAGTATCTCAGAAAGTAGGTAAGTTTTGGAATGGACAGGCACCTGGTGAGTAGGTAGATGGCATCATGTGTAGCAGTGTTTTTTACCCTGGCTTCCATCGTCCTGAGGTCCGAGATTTTCTTTTCTAGGATCAGATCAATGGCACTGGGCACAAGAGGAGTACCAAGGAGAGTGCTGTTGGCTGGATCAATGGCAAACAGTCGATCTTAACAGTGCAAGACAAACCATGGGGTTGGAAATCTTAAACTCAAGTACTTTCACACTTCTCAGTGCGTCATCAGGACCTGTACAATGTTGCAAGGGCAGCAACAAGACAAAATTAGGTGAAGTTTTCAGACAGTAAGGTAGCGCAGGGTGGCCCCCACCAGGATCTCACTCTGAATGAGCGAAGGGAGGCCCGACCGAATGCCAACCACCACCGGTCCCCCCACCCCCTACCCTCTATGGGGTTGGGCAGGGTAGGCCCCACAGTTTGCAAATAGCATGAGGAGGAATAACTAGGAGACAGTTATTAGCCAGACCTAAGCTTCTAACCGCTGGGAACAGGTCATGTAACATAAGAAGCTACATTACAATAGTGAATTATCCACATACATAATGTAGCTATTGTGTACAATCTTTTAACTAATGAAATAAAAGGAATAAATGTTCTTATTTTGTCAACAGGTAGAACCCGATGTCACAGAAATTTCTAATATAATAACCTATGTGACACGTCAAGATTTCTTATTAATGAAAATAAGATACAGATATATTAAGCATATTTCCTAAATTTTCTTGTAGAAGATAAGTGAACTGTAGATAAAAAAAAATCCAAATATCAACCCCTTTGTGATCTAGTTCCCTAGGTCATTTATGTATCCATATGCTCTGGCGCTTCCATCCACAGACTGGATATGGAGGCACAATAAACTAGCCACTTGGGAGGCAAAATCTAATGTGTCTATAACATTCCCTCTAATAAAAAGTAGTAAAGTTTATTAAGATCAAACAGGAAAAAGCCTTGAACTAAGATTACAACAACATCAGAACAGCATTTGAACTGGACAAGATTCTCATGCTCCGTTTGTGCATTTAGGCTAAGAAAGTTGTATCAAATTAAATTTCATAAAAAATAGTTTTGATTTTAATATGAATATTAGTTCAGGGTTATAAATTACATTCATTTATAATTAATAGAACTTATGATAAATTTAAGTTCTATCTGAAATATATTTCATAATTTTTATGTGACCTAACTGCAATGAAACACTTAGTTACTGGGAACGCTTGAAGTTCCTCAACCTGTACTCCCTAAAACGTAGGAGGGAGAGATACATGATAATATACACTTGGAAATTCCTAGAGGGTTTAGTACCAAACTTGCTCACGAAAATCACTGCCTATGAAAGCAAAAGACTCAGCAGACGATGCAGAGGTGCCACTAGCACGATAAGAGTCAACACAATAAGTGTCAGGAGCCCAAAACTGTCCAACTGCCTCCCAGCATACATAAGGGGCATTACCAATAGACCCCTGGCTGTCTTCAAGAAGGCTCTTGACAGGCACCTAAAGTCAGCACCTGACCAACCACCATGAGGCCTGGTCACAGACCGGGCCGCGGGGGCTTTGACCCCCGAAGCCGACTCCAGGTATACTCCAGGTGTAACCAAATTTTTATTACACTCCCATGCTCAGAGTGCTGGGTCAGGTGGTGAGGTCATATGTGCCTTGATATCTCAGCCTTATTTGCCTTCTACTGTCCTATTATTTTTAACAGTTTCTTGATAATGTGAGAAATGGCGAAAGTGCTTGGATATTCATCAGTTTTTTTCACATAGTGGTTATTTTGCATCTTATAGTATCACCTGTTTACTGATTAGGTCCGCACATTGACATGTGACTTTTCTCTCATTATCATCTAGTGTTTCCGCTGGTCTTGTGGCTGGCTAGTTGCAACATCCTTAGTCTGTCTGGTAAACTTGAGCTGGACGGTAAAGAACCTGGGTGAGTGAGAACATATTCCATGAGAGCTTCGTGGTGGAGGAAGCTGTGGTCCCAGATGTGGTTGGTGGTCTCATGGGGGTCTCATGGGAGGTTACACCCTGGGCAGGCAGGCCTACACAACAAGTTACTATACACAACAGGCCACTAAATGCAACATACCCCTTTACATAACACATGATGCAACCTTGACCAGTTACAAGCCGACCCAGCATTTCGACCCAAGATTACAAGACTACTCATCGTTTCCTTCCAACAACTGCACAACATAAGGAATGCCTCCCGCACTGAAGAAATGAAGTAACTCCTGACTCACAATTTAATGACACCTGACCAATCAAGAAGCTAGCCTCCCTTGACCACGCCTCCAGCTTCTGCCAGCCTCCAATCAACATCAAGATGCAGCAATCTTCCATCCAGCAAGTTGCAGTCAACGCCCGCAGAGTTCCTGCTGTCTTCTATGTCGTCTTCGTTATTGTTTATCCAGGCTTAGCAGTTGGGTCTAGCCCTGACTCTTCTCTTTTCGACTCAAGACATTCCTCTCACCGTCTATTCTTCGCACTGTCCCCACTTGCCCCTCGCCCCTCGTGGGTCCTTACCTGTGAGTCCTTGATTGATTGATTGCAACCTCTCCCCCCCTCCCCCGCCTAAAAAAAATCACACTGATATCTGAACATGTTTGCTCAACATATTTAATTTTCATTTATTTTTAATTGCAAAATGATTCTCCTATACATCACCTACTGCCCTTTATATTCACTCTTGTAAATACTCTTTAACTCCTCTTTTCATCACTATCCTAAATAATGTCAATGAACTTCCTCATCTAACATGTTAAAACTATTAAACTTGATTCCATTCTTCTCTCACTTGATAAAATGTTACGTAAGTTTTTATTTAAGATTATTAAACGTAACTCTAATTGTTTACCAGGTCATCAGTGCACGCATATATACATATTACGTTTTGTAGATATATATTACGATACTGTAATGCAGTCAAACAATGTTTGTTATGCCACTGTGACTTGCATTTAAACATTCTTAGATTTATAATCTTGAATGTATAATTCTTGCATACTTGATTCGTGGACATGAAGTGTTTTAATGTTTTAATTTATAATCTTCATTAAAAAAATGTTGATGTTCATGGATAAAATACCTGAGAATTGCATTAAGTCTTGTATTGGGATCTGGATGAGTCAGTTCACGTGTCATGACATCAGAGGTGTGGACTGGGACTCGAACTCCTGCCAGAATGAATACGACTGCTGCCGTTGCTGTGACCTGAACACACAAAAATTATTAACAATTATATTCTGTATAAAAGAAAATTAACTATATCGAAAACATGAGAAGCAGGAGTTCTTGCAGGTGTTTATCTTACTGCTGTGTGAACAATGTTTCTCCCTAACTTCCATACTGAAATTAATCCTTAGTTACATTTTATGTACAGTAGTGATAAAAAAGCTCATTTGCATTATATTTAAACTATATTATTCTCTTCAGGAAGTTTTCACGAATCATTTTAATTAATCAAAAGAGATGACCTACGATGTTCCCCAAATGTCAAACATCGACACTTCAGTGATGTCAACAACTTTACAGTTAGTCAAAGAAATTATGAAGGACTGTAATGCTGATTATGCTACTACATTTACTAGTAAAATCACCTATCATATTTATTTACTTATTAATACTCAGAATATACAATTGTGTTATTATACTGATATCTTTTATAGTAGTGTTATCTAGACTACACAGTTTTTTCTTGAACAAAGTCTTGTAAAACACACGTTTAAAAATATAAAAGTTATGAAACTACATTTAAATCTTCAACAAATAAAAATATAAAAATTGTTGGACGCAGAAACACGAATAATAACACGCACTACAAGTATGAATTGTTGGTGAGCCGTGCGGAGGAGACGTATTACAGACTAACCTCATTATCAAACTCCAGCAGAAGCTCCCATGCCTGAGGTATAACGTCTACCAGGAGGTCCTCAGACATTACTGCTACTGCTTTACATACCACTGACAGCGATACGTGACTTAGTCCCTTCACCTGCAATCATCATCTTCGTGAGTAAACAATTATGCGTCTGTAATTAACGGTGTCAAACAATAGTGATATATATGTATGGAGCTACAATTATTTTTCAAATTAACTTACAATATTTTTTTTTTTTTTTTGTAAAACGGAAACCTGTAATTGTTTTACATGATGGTAGTATTCCTGGTATTTTTTTTCTGTCTCAATAAACATGAAAGATTTCAGGTGCGTCTTGTTACTTCTACTTACACTTAGGTCACACTACACATGCATGTACAAGCATATATATACACACCCCTCTGGGTTTTCTTCTATTCTCTTACTAGTTCTCGTTCTTCTTTATTTTCTTTTATCTCCTTTGGGAAGTGGAACAGAATTCTTCCTCTGAAAGCCTCGTGTGTCGTAAGAGGCGACTGAAATGCTGATAGCAAGAGGCTAGTAACCCCTTCTGTTTATATTAGTAAATTTAAAAAGAGAAACTTACGTTTTTCCCTTTGAGCCACATTACCACGTGGGATGCGGCCGGTTTGTTGAAAGACTATATATATATATATATAAAATATATATATATATATATAATATATATATATATTATAAAATATATATATATATATATATATATATAATATATATATATATATATAAATATATATATATATATATATTTCCAGCAGGTTGAGAGACAGCAACCACACATGAATGTTCTGCTAACTTGTCAGATACATGCAAAACGGAAACCTGTAATTGTTTTACAAAATGGTAAAATTACTTGTGTTTTTTCTTTGTCTCAAAAACATGCAAGAAAAGGTACGTCTTGCTACTTCTACTTACACTTAGGCACTTACATATACATGTACACACATATGAACACACACACCGATCGGAATTTACTTCTATTTTCTAAACAGTTTCTTCATATCTATTTCCTTTCATCTCCTTGTGGTAGTGGAAAATAATCTTTCCTCTTTAAGCCATGCATGTCGTAAGAGGCGACTAAAATACCAGAAGGAATGGGCTAGTAGCCTCTTCTCCTGTATAAATGTCTATAAAAACAAGAAAAACCTATAAAAATAGGATGTTTAAAGGTGCGTGGATGTAGTGAAGGTGATAAGAAAGGGATGATTGTCAGTGTTATGAATGAAAAGAAGTTGGGTGTCCTGGCTCTTAACAAACCAAAACTGAAAGGGGTACAGGAGTTTCAGTACGGAAAAATTAATGTGAATAGGTCAGGAGCGTCTGAGAGAGAGTTAGAGCTAAGAAGGGGACAGAAATAATGTTGAAGGATAGGTCAGGAGTATCTGAGAGAGTTAGAGCTAAAAAGGGGACAGCAATAATGTTGAAGGATCAGTTATGGAAGGAGGAGAGGGTATATACCTGCATAAATTCAAGGATTATGTGGATTATAATATGAATCAGTTACAAGAAGTGGCTAATATCAAATGTTCATGCACCTAGAGAAGAGAGGATTGTAGAGAAGTGAGAGACTTTGGGAGATATTAAGCGAATGTGTAGGAACTTTTGAACCAAATGCAAGAATAATTGTTTTAGAGGATATGAATGGTAAAGTGGGAGAAATGGTTATAAAAGATGTTAGGTAAGTTTGGCGTACCAGGTGTAAATGATAATGGGGACCATGGGTCGAATTTTGTAATTTTATATAGAAAGAGGTTCGGTAATAGGTAATACATATTATAATAAAAAAACTGGATAAATAGGTATACAGTATATGATATAGGACGTTATGACTGTAGTTTTGTTGGAATATGTGTTGGTAGATAAAAAAATATGGGTGGACTACAGAATGTATATTTTTTATAGAGGGGCCACAGACATAACAGATCATTTTTTAGTTGTAGCTACAGCGAGAGTAAAAGGTACAAGACTGAGGTGATGGTTTAAAAACTTCAGGAGAAAGCAGTTAGGCAAGATATAAACAAAAAGATTGACCAGTGAGATTATAGGCACTGAAATTGAAGAGGTATGGGGTAGATATAAAAATGAAGTGTCAGAGTGTTCAGCAGAGGTGTGGCTACAGGAAAGTAGGTGCGGGAGGGAAGAAGGGCGATAGGTAGAATGATGAGGAAAAGAGTAAGCGAGAAGTAGTATTTGAGAAGATTATATAAAGTGGAGGTGATACAAGGAGAAAGGAGTATATATACAGAAAAGGGGAGGATAAAAGAGTGGTGAAGGAATGTAAAAAGACAGCAAATGAGAGAGTGGGTGAGATGTTATCAACAAATTTTCCTGTGAATAAAAAAAGTTTTGAAGTGAGATTAATAAGTTGAGAAAGTTGAGGGAGCGAATGGATTTGACAGTTAACAGAGGAGAGAAGAGTTATTAAACAGAGATTTAGAGGTATCGGGAAGATGGAGGGAATACTTTGAGGAAGTGTTAAATGTCAATGAAGAAGGAGAGGCCGTGATATTGTACACTGGGCAGGGAGGCACAACATCTTGTAGGAGTGAGGAAGAGCCAGGTGTGTGTGTGAGGAAGGTGTGTGAGGCAGTGGGTAGAATGAAAGGGGATAATGGGCTGGGAATGAAGGCATAAAGAAAGATATGTTAAAAGCAGGAGATATAGTTTTGGAAATATTTGTACTTTTATTTAATTAATGTACGGAAGAGAGGAAGGGATTGCGAGAGAGTATGTATATTTCCTTTGTATAAAGGCAAAGGGGACAAAAGAGAGTTTAAAAATTATAAGGGAATAAGCCTATTGAGTATACTTGGTAAAGTATATGGTAGAGTTATTATTGAAAGAATTAAGAGTAAGACAGAAAGCAGGATCACAGATGAACATGGAGGCTAAAGGAAGGGTGGGAGAAGGGGGGGTGTAGAAAAGGTGTTTACATTGATGCATGTAGGTTGGTTTAGAAAGACACGTAAGCAAACACTATAACATATTTATTAGAAAACGTTTCGGTCCTGGGACCTTGATCACTTCTAACATACAGAGGTAGAAAGACATTATATATATAGGCGGAGAGTGAGATGTGACGCACGTGACCTGAGGAATGTCATAAGAACATAAGAATGGAGGAACACTGTAGAAGGCCTACTGGCCCATGCGAGGCAGGTCCTTATCAAAACAACATGATACTTAAGCAGCACTAACCCAACAACACAGGAGTCACATGATTTCATCGTCTACCCATCCTCATCATAGGCAGAGGTTGTTTTGATAAGGACCTGCCTCGCATGGGCCAGTAGGCCTTCTACAGTGTTCCTCCATTCTTATGTTCTTATGACATTCCTCAGGTCACGTGCGTCACATCTCACTCTCCGCCTATATATATAATGTCTTTCTACCTCTGTATGTTAGAAGTGATCAAGGTCCCAGGACCGAAACGTTTTCTAATAAATATGTTATAGTGTTTGCTTACGTGTCTTTCTAAACCAACTTGTCGGTATTTATTACCAAGGTTAATACCATGCATGTAGGTGAACAGTATTTAGATTAGGGTACAGAGATTTTGGTTGCATTTATTGATTTGGAAAAGACATATGATAGGATGGATAGAGAAGCAATATAGCAGATGTTGCAAATGTGTTTGAATATGTGGTAGGTTACTGAAAACATTTAAGAGTTTTTACGAGGATATTGAGAGAGGGAGAATATTTCCTAGTAAAAGTAGGCCCTAGACAAGGATGTGTGATGTCACTATGGATGTTCAGTATATTTATAGATGGGGTTGTTCTAGAAGTGAATTGAGGTGTTAGCAAAAGGTGGTGGGATGAAGACATAAAAATCTAACACAAAGTGGGAGCTATTACTATTGCTCTATGCTGATGACATTGAAGAGAAGTAGCAGTGGTTGGTGGACAGGTTTGGAAGGCTATATAATAGATGGAAACTAAAAGTGCACATAGGAAAGAGCAAAGTGATGAAGTTAACAAAAAATGGATAATGAAATACTGGATAGCAGATTCTGGTGAGAAAGTGTGGATGAAGTGATTGTATTCAGATATGGGTATTCAGATGAGTACATGAAAGATACCACAGACCACTACCCTACTTTCCTCATAACAACTCTTGGTAAACTACCCCAAGACACTACTAAAGTCACCTTCAGACTTCACAATGAGGCAGCCATTAATAACTTCACAACAGCAATAGCAAACATTGATTGGCACACTGAGCTAGAAACCTATACAGATATTGACGAATGTATTAATTTTCTAAAAAAAACCCAATACCTCTATAACAAGCACTGCCCTAAAAAAACTAAACAGATGACAGCAAAGAGACTGAACAGTCCCTGGCTAACACCCAGCATTCTCAAATCCATAAATACAAAACACCAATATGAAAAACAGTACAGAATGGGTCACATAACCAGAGACCAAACAAAACGTTACTCGTCAGTCCTAACCAGCCTGATAAGAAGGGCAAAAAAATTGTATTATGAGAACAGATTATCCAACTTACGAGGTGATATAAAAAAGACCTGGAAAACCCTATCAGAAATTCTGGAACAAAAAAGTTATCACGAAATAGCGAAATTAAAATTAGCAAAACAGATGAACCCCAACTCCCACCAACAGAAACAGCAAACAGACTCAATGATTTCTCTCCACTATAGGACAAAACCTTGCCAATAAAATCCCAAGCTCAGATACCCCACCAAAATGACTACCTCCCCCGGAAAACTACCCGAACACACTGTTCCTAGCTCCGATAACCCTACGAAGTCCCCCTTATTATCAACGCACTAAAAACAAGGCAGGAGATTTAAATTACCTTACCACCCTTATATACAAAAAGTGTCACAAGTGCTATCCACCAATCATTGCAACATCTTTAACAAATCCATTAAATCCCCCACCTTCCCTACAGTACTCAAAATAGCAAGGGTCACCCGATCCACAAAGGAGGAGACCAAACAGAGTTGAAAAACTATAGGCCAATATCCAACTTACAACCTCTCTCAAAAATCTTCAAAAAATTTTAATTCAAAAATAAATCTACTCCTACCTTATCTCCCAAAACATACTCAACCCCTGCCAATTGGG